ATTTGGCATGTAAGGACAACGAATATTTAATCCCAATTATGGTCAAGTGAGTTTCTTCCAGCGTTAATTGGTAAAAAATAATCTTTGTCCAGGAAAGCGATTCTTGGAAGCAGAAAAGGGGACATGTTAGGCAAGTCGAGACCTCGATGGAGCCGCCGTAAATTCTAATTCAGTGCAAGAAGGGACAAGGAAAGCAGATGTCGACAATTGTGCTTAATTAATCCCGCGCTGGACAACCTCGTCCGTTCTGGCTGTCGAGAATTTAGCGAAACAGTTTCCTATTTATAAAGAACTGGGACTGGAGAGATCCAATTACCGACTTGCGCGCTTTCTTTGCAAGAATTCCGGCCAATTTGTGCTTTAAAACAATGTTTTTCACTTAAACGGCTCCCGATTTAGCGATAATCATTCCCGGGAGTTACAAATTGTAAAATTTACATACAAAACTTTCCATTTGTCCTCGTTTCTAGCGTCAGTCTCGCGCAGCGCATTCTAAAATTTGCATTTAAAGAAGCCAGTTAAATATTGCAAAAATTAGAAACAAAAACGAAATTTGGAATCGAGGGAAATTAAGGAAATCAGAATTGCGTGTAACGAAAACTGCCTAAGAATGTTTAGGCGACGCTGTCGGGGATCGATTTCCATATAAGGCCCACATCGAGGCGCCTGGTATTTGTCATTTCCGACAGGAAAGGCCGCCCCAGAGCGTTCTTAGCTCCTTTCGCCTCGAGATCGCGTACGATATCGATTGATATATACCGCTGGTCGATCTTTAACTGGCCGATAAGGGTCGCTCCGCTTAAAAACTTCTTGATTTATAGTCCTTTCCCACTCGCAAATTAAGCGGCGCGGTATGAAACGAATCATGCGACAGTTGTTCCGACACCTACGCGGATAAATCACTTGACTGCCGCGGACATTAACTAATTTTCACCTTTCGTTGAAAAATTTAATATAAACGACACTGTCGGGGAAAAAATCTACAAATAAATTAAGGGGTCGCGACAACCCAAGATATTTCCATCATTAATTTTATCTGGGGACGTAGAACCACTCTGTATTATACATCAACAATTGGTATGTAATTTTAGATTAAACTAGCGGGCTACGTAAACGAGAACCTACTTCGTTCCAATCATTTTCGAGAAAATTTAATAACGATTGTAAAATTTCAATTTTTGTCGACACAGTCCACGTCACCTGGACCTAATACGTATTCACGAGGCGGTCCCATCGCGGCGAGGGGATAAAAGAAAGCGTGTCCAGTGGTGTCCGGTGGCGCGTCCTTATTCAGAAGAGGAAAAAACGTGTCAGCCAGCGAGAGAACTCGTATCGAGAGCACCGGGGGTCCTTATCGTGGCGCGGCTCGTACCTTATTGCGTACCGCGCCCTTCTCCGCTGCCTTGGCTCTCGTCACGGCTCGTAAAGTCGACGTGGTCGCAAAAGGTGGCTCGCGAACAGGCCTCAGGATCGGAAATTCCATGGCTACGGGTCCAAGAGAGAGATCCGTTTGCGAGAGGGCCGTAATCCTTTAGCCAGCGCAATGGGGGCGCGTACCCGATGTACCGGCTCGATTTTCCCCCACCTACCGCTTTTATCGTCCTGCCTACTCTAAATATTTCTCTGGCATGAATTTATAACGACGACGGCGCGCCGCTGCTAATAACGAGCACCGATACCTAGCGATGGGACCAAGCGTATCGCAAGTAGCCTCCAATACACCTTCTCCAATTTTATTGCCCTCCAATTCTATAACCTTTTTCCTTCCTATGCAGGCCTTAATAGTCGTCCATTTTAGATTTTTAGTTCACCAAACGGACTAGCGTATGAGAATCCTAGAAAGAAGGGTCTTCTTGAGGTTGGGGATGTCAAACTTCTAGGCACTGTGGCCAAAAATCACTTGGGTACTTGGACCCTCTGATCTGGGTGGTAGTTTATGATATTATACAACAGTTGAGCACTTGGATTCTTGGTCTATCCACTTGAATTATCTTTTTTTCCTATTGATCCTAACAATAGGCTGTACACCATATCCTCTGATATCGTGGAAATTGATTCCAGGTAGCCTGGAGCGCGTCTTCCGACCAAGATCCTTTTTTTACCCGAACGCCTCCACCGAAAAGATTGCCAGGTGAATTACGAGCATGCAAACGGGTGTTTAAGTAAAAGTTTCATTAAGTAATGGCCGAAGTGTTCGCCTATGGCGATGAATGGGGCTCCGATCCTAGACGGCCGCGGACACGGAGAGCCGATTTTACGCGGCGTGACTCCGTCAGCCGCATAGAATCGAGTTCCAGCGGCCCGGCTCCTCGTAGATCAGTGAAAGTCCGAGCTGCTACTCGTTGCACGGCTGCTCCGTTTGCGCTGGCGACAGCCAATCCGACACGCGAGACTACTCTATCGCCGCTGTTGAATGGCACACACGATCGTACCCCGCCGATACGGGCCCGGCTGCGTGTTCTTTCGACACAGCCGCCTGGGATCCGATGGTTCGGATTTCAGAATTTAGTTTGACAGTCCCAGGGGCCCCGGTCGTGTCGAACACCGTTCGGACACTTTGATTGTCTGCTTCGATTAGCCGTCTAGTTGGTCTGGTGCTCGCGGTAATTAGCTGCTGGAAAATTCTACGCGGCATAGATCAACCAGCGAATTAGAATCCCAAGAAGACGACTTGTCTTCTTCAGATTGAGGATGTCAAACTTCAGGACACTTGAACTGTTCATTTTGAGCAACAGTAGATGCTTATGATAGTAGATACCACTTGGTCATTTGGTCAATCTACTCAGATGAGCTGTTCCCTTATATTATAGGTCGTAAAAATTGCTAAGACTTTGGGTAGAGTAGACTATATCCTCTTTCCGTTGATTCTAATAACTATCGAAGAGAACAAGACTGTTCGTATCATCAACGTCTAGAGTTGTCGACGTTGACAGTCAGTTTCAGACAATACACTGTGGGATTTACGATGTCAGATATCCCCGAAATATCCGAACTATCGAAATTTCGAGATTCGAGAGACAACGAAGAAGGAAACTCCGGGGGTTCCAGGAATTCAAGTTTCAGTTGAACAAGTCGCGCGATCGTTTCGGCGACCACTAGCTCAGCGTGTCGTTAGGCTAGTCCCGCTTCGGCTTCAACGTTACCGCGCGCGCCAACTATAAAACAAGCGAAGTTATGCTGCCATTCAGCGGCACCATTATAGACACGACGCCCAGTTATTTTCACCCGATGCAAATTCACTTTATCTCGACAGTAAATTCCACGAAATTTATCGCGGATTCTGATTCCCCGACTTTCTACGCGCGGCTCGCGTCTACTTTATACACTGTTCCGCGTAACAGCTATCACAATAATCGCGGGCGTTACAGTTAATAACAATCGCCAGCCGCGGTTCCGCACGGGTCCGCCATTTTTCTTCCCTGCTCGTGCAGCTAAAATCGCGCTAATGATTGCGTCCACCTCGTCTGTTCGTTCGCGCCGACATTCCCCGAGCCCCGACGCTGCTTTATCGTCGCTCGCAGACGGAAAACTCGTTCGCGTGTCTTTTCAGCGCGATGTGGACCCCGATAATTTCACACCGGGAATTAATTTAACCGGAATGTTCGTTTCAAAAAACCGAATTACACGGCTACTGTTCGTCGGGGTGGCGATATCGCTCGTTAAGGCCTCGGCCTTGAGTCTTTTTTTCAACACCTTGTTGTGTCTCGATCTTCTCTATCACAGACTTTTTAAACAAATGATTCTTTACAATATTTTTATTCCACGAAGAAATAATTGGACCAACATATATTTTAAACGCGAAAGTAAAACGAAAACGTTCAAAAATGTATTTAATTCGACTAATTATTTGTAATTGTTTCAACAATAGAAATACAACAATGTTGATCTAAATTATTCGTTGCTGTATTCTCGTTTCCGAGTCGTAAATTTCTTTATTCGTTTAAACTTCGCGCCAAAGCAACCACTACGAATAGAGGGGAATGGCGAAGAAAGGCCCCAGACGCGTCGGTTTGCTGTTCCAAGCGTGTTTTCTTTCGCCTCTGTGTCGCGCGCCGTTTCTAACACGCGCTCGGTCGATTCGTAATTCAACCGGCGTCGAGGCAAGAGCTTCCGGTGGACGTCACACGCATCCTTTTTCCTCTGTTTCACGATCCACGACGAAAGTACGTGCCCTGTGCTTTTACACGTTTCCATTTAACGCCCGTCTTGCCTGTGCTCGCGTTGCACGCGTCGCGTTAACGTTATTCCCGCGTAGAATTTTCAAGAAGCTTCCGAGAACGTCAACGAACCACCAACCCTTTTTCTTCGGGGTCAGTGAATTTTTTCGTCTTCGAGGAATACTCAATTTTACCGTTCTTCTCGGAAACCATTTTCTTGGTTTATTATTCCCGGAAAAAATTCTCTCCGAGGCTTCGACATTCTGATGTTTGATTCATTGTAATTACATTACATTTGCAATATAATATTAATGTTTACGAGTACTTGTCGTGGCTTAGGATCGACGGAGAAAAGTTATTGCAGCAGCTGTTTATCGGGGTTAGGTTTTACCAGCTGCAACTCGGGTTTTAGTTAAGCACTGCTTATTATTTTATATTGTACAGAATTATTTATAGAATTAGGAACTTTCGATGAATTAAATTCTGCTAGAGCAATCTAATGCATCCAGTATTTATCCAAAAGAGAATTTCACACATTTCGAACGAATCAAAGTCCTTGAACTCTGATCCCAAGCGGGGCCTCACAGCTAGAGAGTAAAGAACTTATTTACGAGCGGGTCGCGTCACCAGATCGCCATATTAAAACAAAGGAAGCTTAACGGTTTGTATATATAGCCTAGTATCGAACCGAAGGTTTATAGCCGTGTTAGAGTGCTAAGTCCTCGCGTTAACGTCATAAGCAAAATGGATCCAGCTGCGGTGGGCCTCGATTCAAAGACCGAATAGTCCACGGAAGCTGGTTTGTAGTTCAGAGAAAACGTAAATCGTTCGTCGGCCACTTACTTTACACAGAGCGACGCCGGTGTCCAGCCTGTCCATAAAATTGTCAACGTTGATTCTTAGCTCTGGATAGAGAGCGTTCAGCCATTCCGCCAAGTCCTCTTTCATCGCGATCAGATACTCCTCCGAAGACTTGAAAGGTCTGTAAGACCTTGCTTCCAGAAGCACCGACATCTTGGCTCTCGAGTATCTGAAAGCAGATCGAACATAGCTACCTTTCTTGTGATTTCATCGAAACTACAGTCATAAACGGAACAAATTTCAAACCGAGGAACATTGTCATTCACGTGTCTACGGATGTTCATTCATGCGCCCAACAGAGTAGTTAAAGTGCCCCAGTATACCAGTTCGCCCAACAACGAATCATAATTTGCAATTAAAATTCGACGCACCCGTTTCCCAGGCTGTCCCTGTCGCGGTCAATCGCCAGACAAATAATTCCCAGACGCGTTACTGTACATACCGTGGACATGCAATAAAATTTCGAGGGATTTGCAAGACAATGGCGGTGTCCGTGCATATTGTCGATCGTCCCAGAAACTCTCCCCTAGTTGCGGCACCGGTTAAACCACCCCACCGGGCCGATGGTTGTCCTATAATGTGTCTGAAACCCGTGCCCTATCGCGCTGGTTGTTTGCTGGTCCCCTGGCTACCCTTATGAATCCCCATTGCTCTCATAAACCAACGATGATTCCTGACCGAACGAGCCTCGCCAGCACGTGTTGCCCCCATGGACCCAACAATCAGGCTTCTGTGGGTTGAATATGATCGCACGGGAGCCGATTGGGAATCTAATTCGGTGTCCATGAAACGGGATTCATCCTGACCCTTTCATTAAGTGGCGTGTAATCTAATAGTCTTATGGTGTGATAAACTAGGTTAACGATTGTGTAGTTTGATGGTTTAACTTTGATAGTCTGGATGTTTTAGTTCAATTTTTTTGGTCTGAATTTGATGGCCTCAACTATGCTAACAACTTAGTCTGATAGTCTAAGTGCTTTAGGGTAGCAGTTCACTGCAACAACCTAGTGCTAACAAGCTTGTTGTCTTGGTAGAACAGCCTAGTCGAATAATCCAAATGTACCATCTATAAATCCCATTCTAGCAGCTAGTCAGTCCAGTTTGATAGCCAAATGATCCAAGTCTAAACGTCTAACCTAGTAAGCCCAACAATCCAGTCAAATGGTCCAGTTATAGTGGCTGAATAGTGCAGTCCAACAGTTTGATAGTCGAGTAGTCCAAGTCTAACAGTATCCCCAAACTCCCCCAATTTTAATAATCTATCAATCATTCTGAACAGCCCAGTTCTAGTAGCTTCACAATTCAACAGTGTAAACCCCTCAACAGTAGCCTCTGAACAGAAACTTACGAACAGGAAATGAGTCGTTAGTCCGTCCAGATCAGTCACCCAACGAAACAACGAGAGTTAGCGTATAATCTTATTTACTTTTACGATGGGAACAATTTCCCCGGACCTCCTACAAGCTATGACCGTGTGGAATGGTTACAACATACCCTTCTATTGATTTAAACGAGACGCCAAGGATGAAGGGCGCGAACGACGAGAGGAGGGGGATGGAGAAAAAGGAACCGCAGGACAACGGGGAGGAAATCATAAAGGCGAGGTCGAAAGTTCGTGCGCCGACACCGGTGTTCCTGGATTACGATTTACAAAAGGTGACTGTAAAATGTCACCGTCTCGTGTTTCTCGACGATGCAACGCGCGTGATTTACTCCTCGTTTACTATGGCGACGTCTGTGTGCGCTTCTTCACCGCGCTGGGGACCGTACGTACACACAATACAGGTGTTTCAATCGTAAATGGCAAAGTGTGACTCTGCCTTGTGCGCGAGGATTCGAATCGAGCCGCTTTTCGGGGATTGAGATTCAGTTTTCTGAAAAGAGGAATTCGTGGAATGTCTAAACTCGAGACACCACGCGTTGGAGATAAATCGATCGGCTCTGTGGAAGGCGTCGAGGTTGAAAAATTATGGCGATGCGCGCGACCCGAGGAATTGCGCCGCGATAGCGATCGCGTTCGCCGCAACTTGTGAAAGTGTTGCGTCTCGTACGCGGGTAGGTGTACGTAAACGAGCGTGTTTCGTTTTACAGTGCTATACTTCCTGCCTCGGGTACGCGAGCAGTTCGATTGAATTTTGCAACGCGTACGATTTACTCGCGCGGTCTTTTCCAGTTCCACTAGACGCCGTCTTTACGATCTATAAAGCGTCCCCGAAGATTTCCACGCGTCGCGGCAACCAGAATACGCAACGTAAATACTCCCGGCTGACATTTTGACGTTCGAAAATGAATTTATTGCTCGTTACGTAGCATACTATGTCTCTAGAAAGTGAAAATTGATTCGGATAAAAGATTCTAGCGACAACGTTTCTCTTACCAGATACCAAACACGAACGACTAACATCGTTTAGCAAAAACTAAGAGTGTCTTGGTCGACAAGTCGATTCTTTATCAAAAAGTGAACAAGAAATCTGCAATACATTTTTTTCGTACGAAGCTTGCTTTTCAAGAAAATTAACACTGAAAATCAGATACGTCTGCGCGCGCAGTAGCGACGCCATTACTGTGCGCGCACATATACAACTGATTTTAAAAGTCGTTTTTCTCGATAACTAAGGCTCGTACGAAAACTCTTCGTCTCACATTGTCGAATCATTTTGCCATAAAGAATCGGTTCCCTGTGTTTTCAGGTTAACAATATATAAAATCTTTAAATTAATTAAACAAGTATTGCCGATGCAATTCTTTTAAACTTTCGGTTATTAACGAGACACTGGAAGTTTTTAAAATATTTTTCAACCGCGGCTATTTAAATTCACAGGAATTCCCTCCGCGCATAATAGAAAGAGAATCTATCCGCGCGTTGCGAACGAGCACGTTTAAGGCGGCCATTCGATGCGATTAAACTTGCCCGATGAATTACGCGCCGGCATTTTTGAGACGCACCCGGCTAACGCGAACTGTCGGCATTTTAACGAGCAAGTATCGGGCACGGTGTCGCCAATCTCGCCCCATTAAGATGCCGATAGTTCGCATTTGCAGCATATTTGCGTCGAGCTTTATTCGGCGACTCGCTACGTAAATCGCCAACATTTTTGGCTCGGGTAGCCTTATCGGGCTTGTTTCAAAAAATAAGAACGCAATTGTCCGTGTCTCAAAGCGCTGCTGAACGTCCAGGTGCGCGAGTCCGCGAATTGGATCGACAATTATTTATTTAAATCACCGTGGTCAATTTGTGCGCCATTCTACGACGTTGCAGTGCCGTTCAATACGTAACCTGAATGGGACTGCATATTAGAGGCGTACGTTTGTTATAATCGATTCCTACAGCGATTCTAGGTCCGACAATATGGACTAACTAACTTGGAAATATTGACTCGGAGAATGTTTGATAAACGAAGTGTTTTTAGGCTGTAAGTTTGATGGGTTTAACTGACTTGGACAGCCTAGCTTCGGCTAACTATTGAGTTCGAACAGTGTTTTAGGAACCTCGCTATGGATGGATGTATTGATGAGCTAAGTATGGAGTGGTTGTACTATGTTTGTACATGTTTCTGAGTTTGACAAGAGGGATTAACCGACTTGGACAGCCTGACTACAGTGTACAGACTAACAGATATTCCTAGGTAATCACGAATCCTAATAATTGACGTTACAGAGAAAGTGGAAGTTTGGAAAACAGTTTGTGAATTAACTGGGAAACAACTGGCACGAACCAACAGTTAGTTCTGTTATTTTTTACTGTAAATCGAGTCTCCGATCTCGGTTCTCCCGTTTCACGTTAATCAATCATCCATCCGTAATCTAGCAGTTCATAATTTACCAAGGAACAGCACGCGACGCGTTTTCTCGCTTTCTCGTGACGGAAAACGACGGTGCCGTTGGACGGGAGAGCTTCAGGCACGGTAGGTTAGCCTCTAATTTACTGTTAGCTCGCAGTCGATACAGCCGTTATCGCGAGCCACGAAACCAAACGAGGGAGTCACTAAATCAGCGCCTTTAGCCACGCGCGTCGCGGCCAAGCGGTAATGGGATCGAGTTAATTTAAAGAGACTCGAATTTACGACGCGAAATTTCGTGTAAACGCGCATTTTTTCCGTCGTTGCTGGCCCGCGAAGCTTTGAAGTTGCTTGGATAGCTAAGTACAAGGATAAATTTAGGGTTTAGAAAACGCCAAGGCGGAATAGAGAGAGGCTACAGGCCCCGGAGTAAAGTTAAAATTAGTTAAATATATACACGGTTACACTAATCGCCCTGTAGTTAATGCACTGTAACAGCCTAGTTTCCTCAGTCTAATAATCTAGTCTAATACTTCGTGTGCCCTAGTCAGACAAGCTTAGGTCTTTTGTTTCAACAAACTAGTCGTTTTGTAAGTGGAGGCCCCCAAGTGAAATGCTGATTTTTTTATGAAATTTTGCAGAGTGATAGAGCTGATAGTTTACGAAAGAGCGAATAGAAAGTAAATTTTCACTTTTTATTTCCAAACGCACTAAAAATTCTCGAGACTTTCGAACTTTGTGATGTTAATTATCCGTAATTAGTCGGAACTCTTTAACTGTATCGGACTCAATTTCGAGGGAATCCTCTACTGGATGCATAAATAAATTTAAATTACGAAGATACGAGAAACTGAACTAATAAAACGTTCAGAAACATGCACCACGATTGAGGTCGGATCTTAATAACACCCATCCAGCAGCACTCTTATAATTGTTTTTTATTCCTCTCTATAGTCATGCACCTACGAGTTCAGACTCAACGAAGAAGTTAAACGAACAAACACTTTCATTCTCGACCAAAAACGTAGACCAGAATTGTCAAAGCAGAAAATAAAACTCTGCGTTGATTCGATATTTCCCGATAATGATCAAAATGTTAATTATTCTCCCACAATTGGGTATTGTCTATTCATACCGGCGTGGCTCATTCATTCGTTCATTCCCAATTACCCTCATTACCTGCTCCGCGAGCCTGAAACCTCAAGGGAGGAACAATGGCCGCCCTACTCGGCACAAAAGCGCGCCAAAAACGAAACCGCTCGCGGGCGTCGACGTAACCTTACTTCTCACGCGCTCGCGAGTGTCCATACCGCGCCTTTATTACGCTAGTGTCTTTTTTTTTCTATTACTTCTGGCCGTTCGGTGTAAAAGGACTGCGACCGAGATAAAG